TTGAATTACTGAAATAAATGAACTTTTCCACGACATTCTAATTTATTGAGATGCACCTGTATTATACGCACACACACAAACACAAAGAAAAACAAGTAGATAGAATAGAAAAAAATAGAAAGCTAGTGTTTTTTTTTAATAATACTCACAATAATCACAAACAGCTCTTCCACAAGCTGAGAGGGGAAATACTAATAAATATAAATAGATATTAGTAGTTCCCCTCTCAGCTTGTGGAAGAGCTGTTTGTGATGAGCTTTGGTTCATTGTGTGACTTTCTCATCACCGCCTGTTTTTGGTGGTTATCAGTGCATTACAACAGTTCAAAACAGATTTTAGTTATATATATATATATATATATATATATATATATATATATATATATATATATATATATATAATTGATGTTTAATTCTTCATAATTGTTGTTGTTATTTTTTTGCTAAACCGTTGCAGGGAAGTTATAGGGCCTAAATTCACTGATCATGGTTTTTGTTCATTGTTTTCTTCAGAGAAACTGAAGTCTAGTTTGTTCTTTTGTCATGCGGTTCTGCTCGTGTGAGAGCAATCAGAGGATCCTTTCATCTTCTAAAATGTGAACCTACATTTGTGAAATGAGAGACTAGCTGCCCATCAGTTACAGTCACCGCTGCCTTATTTCGTCTCCATTCACATTCTGAAACTTGATTACTGCTTTCTGTGGAGTCTAACTGATTGAAATGGTGGACGCTGGGATATAGAAACAGTCTCTCTGTGTGTTATTTTCTCTCTCACTCCTCTGAATCTGAGAGTTAAAGAGTGTGTTTACTCTTCTTTAACGCTGATATCGTGTGTTTTCTCAGTCGGTACACAGCTGTCCAGGTGAACCTGCGCTGAGCAGAAACGAGCTGATCTTAACCTCCGACTCCATCATGAAGAGAAAAGGCTTCCTGTGCTGTAAAGACACGTTTCTGGAGGTGAGACGATGCTCTTTTGTCTACAGAGATTCATCTCTATGTCGTTCCAAACCCAGAGTATTTCTTCAGTGGATCACAAAAAATAGACGGTTAGCTGAATGTTCACGCTGCTCTTTTCCATTCAATGAAATCCGTCGGGGGTCTGTCAAGCTCCATTATTAAAAAGCAATAATTAAAATAGTCCATATGATTAAATTCAAGTCTGCTGGTGTCATGTGATGCTATGTGGATGCAAAGGGGTTTAAAATGATTAAAATAAAACAAAACAATCTTTAAAATGATTTAAAATATTTTTTTTTTGTTTCCCGCATCCTTGGAAAACCTAGACATAATGTAAAAAGTTTGATTTCTAGATCTGGAGAAGTCATGCACAATTTTTATGAGTAATATAATCTTTTTTAGTTATGTCGCTAAAAATTTTATATTTATTATGTCGCTAAAAATACTTATTCATTAAGCACTAAAATATTTTTTGGGATAGAAAGTGCTGAGAAATTGTAATTTGTGAGTTGTTAATAGTAAAAACAACATGGAAAAAATATATAATCTATGACAAAAAAACTATTATAAACTAGGTTAGTGGATAATTTAGCAGCAAAAGTTATTCTAGAAAAATCACGAGTGCACAATTTTATAAAATCTAAGCATTTAGTGAAATAACGTTATTTAGTGGGGAACAAATAAAAGTGAATAAGTATAGGACTAAATCTGGTAAAATGTTACACATTGCTCTTTGTATTGTTGTAAAATACAAGTAAATGTATTTATTTATAAATATAAGCTATAAAATTATATAGTAAACTGTAAAATGTATAGCACAGTGATGAAGGCAGCAATATATGATAGATAGGAGTCCTGTCTATCGTATGTTGCTGCCTCCATCACTGTGCTATACATTAGATTATTTATAGCATTTCTTTTTCTGTGCTATCATAGGACAGAACAAGAAACATTATAAATAATCTTTCATTGCACATAAGTGTTGTCCTACAAAAAGCCCCAATACGGAGCGGCACAAAGCGCTTATGTGTATCCCGTGTCGGAGTCACGGCACGCAGCGCTCCGCAAAGAAAAGTTCAAAGCACAAAGGAAAGAGATATTGATGCATAGTTTATTAAATCTGTGTGATAGTTTGAGCCTTTTCTTTTAACAGTTTAAAGAGAGTTTCATTGTTTTGACTGTCGTAACCGAACGCGTCACGCAGTTTGAATGAATGGAGGATTGCAGACAGCCGCAGCGGAGAGAAGAGTTTAAAGGAATAGTTCACCGAAGAATGAAAATGTGATGTTTATCTGTTACCCCCGGGGCATCCAAGATGTAGGTGACTTTGTTTCTTCAGTAGAACACATATGATGATTTTTAACTCAAACCGTTGCAGTCTGTCAGTCGTATAATGTAAGTGGATGGGAATAACGGCTTTGAGAGTAAAAAAAACATACACAAACAAAACCAAATTAAACCGTGCGGCTCGTGGCGATGCATTGATGTGTAAAGACACGAAACTGAACAGTATGTATATAATTTTTTCCCTCTGATTCACCGCAATGTCTGAAGTTCGTTTTCGACAGCCTGCGCGTGACACATCGTCGTCGTCGTTTTGCTTTACGGCGGATCGCAGACTTATAAGAGCATTACCGCCACCTTTCTCTCAAGTGGACCATTGACACTCCCAATTGAGATTGTAGATAGTGTCAATGGTCCATTTGAGAGATAGGTGGCGGTAATGCTCTTATAAGTCTGCGATCTGCCGTAAAGCAAGAAGACACGTCACGCGCAGGCTGTCGAGGACGAAGTTCAGACATTGCGGAGAATCAGAGGAAAAAAATTATATAAATACTGTTCAGTTTCGTGTCTTTACACATCAATGCATCGTCACGAGCCGCACGGTTTAATTTGGTTTTGTTTGTGTGTGTTTTTTTTACTCTCAAAGCCGTGATTTCCATCCACTTACATTATATGACTGACAGACTGCAATGGTTTGAGTTAAAATCTTCGTTTGTGTTCTGCTGAAGAAACAAAGTCACCTACATCTTGGATGACCTGGGGGTAAGCAGATAAACATCACATTTTAATTTTTCGGTGAACTTGAATTTAACAACTTAAATATTCATCTGTACTTCACATTAAACTATGGAACGGCTTCAGAACACTTGGACTTTGACTTTATGATGCTTTATAATGCGCTTTCGTGAGGCTTAACAATAACACAGAATCGTATAAGCACAATATCGGATTTGGATCGGTCTCGTCTGACCGATAACCGATCCGGCAGAAAATGCCAGTATCGGAGCCGATACTGATACCGAGTATCGGATCGACGCATCTCTAGGTACAAGAGGACACGGATCTCTCAAATAAAGCTCATTCTAAATGGGTTGAACTTCCACCATCCATGGCCATGTTGTATTTAAGATGTTTTAGTGTGGGTTATTTTAATTCAATGTGGTCAGTCTCTGTGTCTTTGGTTTGAAGGCGCTGACAGACACTGGCAGTGATAAATACTTACAGGTACAGTACAGCACGCATGACGTGTGCGATTGGGTTTATTCATTTCTATATGTAAGAGCCAGATGTGTGTTTATTCCAGCATGAATTACTGTAATAACCAGTGTTTCAACTTGTGCTGGTGCTGATCTGCACACACTAATCCTGATGCACACAGTCAGGCTAACAGGTTTTCAGGTTTATGTGAATTTGTATTCCTCATTCGCTGTGCAACTCACTGCACTGTTATAATATATAACTGGGTGAATGTCAGTGTCGAAGACATTTTTGGCTCATATTGCACCCTAAATCAAAAGAAATAATTTTGCTGAATTTTTTTTCACCGCTTTATTTTTTCCATATTTTCCCCCATGCAAGCATTCATACTTTTATTCTCATATTTTCATATTTTCATTACTTTAATACATGAATGAAAATCATGCCTAGAAACGCTGTTTTATGTATTTATTTCTTTATTTATCTATCAGTATAAATCAGTGTTATTTTAGTATTATTTATATACTAATATAGTATTTATTAATTGTTTGAATTAGCATTTACTTTTATATTTTCAGTTTTTGTTTGCTTATTTTTTGTGCTTTTGCCAATTTCATTTTTTTATTATACATATACATTTATGTTTAGTTTTATCAATCCAATTTAGTTAAGAAAGTTTTAGTACTTAATTTATTGTATTTATTATTTTCCAAGGCAGCATTTCTAATTAACATTACTAATAACGTGTGTATACTAGTTTAAGTCATCTAATATTATTTATTTTATTTCAGCTTTATTTCAATTGACAAAAATTATATTTAATAGTTTTGGTTTTAGTTAACAACACGGGTAAGGATTAAAGTCTGTGCGATAAATACTAGATTATTTGGATATATTTTAAAATATAAATGTATTTTTATTTTTCTTCTCTGTGTTACAGTAATGAGATTTTAAATGCATAAAATCCTAATAGTCCTCAAAATAAGTTTGGTTTTCACTTGAAATAGTAAAAAATGTTCTTTTGATTTTGAGGTGATATTTGACATTCTTGATTGACTCTGAAATTAATCCAATAATATATTATTTTCTACTTTTGTGCAGTGCTGAGTTATTTTAATGAATGATTTAATGAGCTCTGCATTGAACACTGGGTTCATTGTTTTCTTGTAAATGTTTCTAAATGCTTTTAAAAATCTGTTCAATTCTAGGAAATCAGAAAGTTCATCAAAACAGTTTCGGAGAAAATAAAAAAGACACGTGACAAATACGGCATCAACGACAACGGGACGACAGAGGTGAGAGCTCAGCTTCATATGAGAGTGTGTTTATATGCTTGTGTCTGATGGCCTGTTTTCTCATTCATTACAGCCTAAAGTTCTGTACCAGCTGGACAGAATCACTCCGACCCAGTTGGAGAAGTTTCTGGAAACCTGCAGGGACAAATATATGAGGTAACACCGCGGTACACAAGCTCTAATTGACCTCCCTTAGTCACTGTTGTTCACTCGGACAAACGAACGGAGCTGCTCACTGTCTTATATGACAGCTGTCAGTGAAAACCTTCTTCCGAGGGCTTTCTGATCAATTTGGGACACAGGTGGACCTTCAAGTGGGACTTAAATGTGCCATGGAGGGATATATAAAAGATATTAAAATAAATATGTAAAAATACAGATCACAGTGCAAACGGGAGAATTATGTTACGGTCGTCACGATCGCAATGACAACATCCCAGATCAACACCGTTCATATACCGCAGAGTAAAATGTAATTAATTTACATTTAACCAGATTAATATGGAGAGGCACTCTAATATAGACCTTCGTTTATGTGTTTTTGACACATTTGTTTTGTGTTCATGACGCTACAGTTTGCTATTTAGGTTTGTACGTTAGCACGGACTCACTAACTTGACCGTTAGCTAGTTTTAGCCAGAGATAGCTTGCTGAAGCACAGGATTACATTAACGTTCTGCTTGAGCAGATGACAAGTGTAACTTAATGAGATTGACAACCAGAAAACGAACGTTTTCGTCTTCATTGTGTTGAATGCTTAGGGACGTTTTGCTCTGTTTTGGTTGGATTTAGGAAATGGAATAAAATAAATGACATTGCCTATCCTCTCAGGATAACTGGAATTAGTGTTACAAGTACCACACGCACATCGTTTTTCCATTTTTGAAGCATAAACACTATCAAACCGATGCGAGCTTCGGATCGTCCAATGTTTTTCTATGGCGCTGAAAGCTAAAGAAGTCCGAGTTCTGCTCCCCTGATACTCGACTGCCATTGGCTCATCTGCGTTCAAGGGGAGGGGCTTACCGATAGGTCAATAGCACTTGTTCGTTCAGTAGACGGATGTTGATTTAATGAGCTGTGCGTAATCTGCTGGCGTGATGGGCGGAAAGAGCTGCACCTTTACTGTCCATGTCAGGCCAGTTGTGTAATGCTTATGCAATGACTAAAATATTGTCTAGTATAGAGATGATTTAACCACTGTTGAGAGACATAAATGGTTTTAACGTGATTTGTATGACGCTCAGGGCGCAGATGGAGCCGGGCTCTGCCGTCGGGGCGCTGTGTGCTCAGAGCATCGGGGAGCCGGGGACTCAGATGACCCTCAAGACGTTTCACTTCGCTGGAGTCGCTTCCATGAACATCACTCTGGGAGTCCCGAGAATCAAAGAGATCATCAATGCATCCAAAAACATCAGGTGACTTCAGAAACCCTGACACACCTGGAAAACCTGGATTTTTTTTTTTTATAGTGACTATACTTTTTTTTTTAATAGTGAATAAACTTTATTATTTATGATCATGTAAAAATAATAGACTCTAAATTGCATTTTAAGTTAGTTTGAGTAATTGTTTGTGCTTTTGTCCTTTCGAATAATTTTTAAATGTTTGAAATAAAAATTTATTTCAGTTTTTGTTTTAATACTTGAACTTAAAACGTACTTTATTTCTGTAAATTGTCAAGGCAGCATTTAAATGAATATTTATACAGAAAAAAAACCTTATCGTTTATATGTAGATTATATTTATATATAAATTAGAAATTTGATATAGATTATATTTATATAGAAATTTTAAATTAAATATAAACTGAATTTAATTGTTTTCAGGACTGGAAATTAAAAGTAATGATTTTTAGATTGTATTTTTGAGTAAAAATTTTTATTTTAGAATAAATCAATTATTTATTATTATTTTAAATTTGTATTTTTTTAAATCTAAATTTATAATTATATTTATTAATGAATTATAATTATTATTATTTAATTTATATATTTTTTTATGTTCTTTACTCCCTGTCCATATCTTAAAAATATGTAATATGTAATATGTAAAATATTATTTTTATTTTATATACAGCTAAACTACTTTTTTTTGCTTAACTATTCTTTATTTCTTCACTATTTTTATATACCATTGAGTACCATATAAATACTATGGTACATAAATATGATAATGAGCTGTGGTATTACCATCTGATATAATTAGTCAACACTGAAGTATTTTTCATAATAAACCATAACCATAAGCCAACCTAAAATCCTTTAAACAGACCTGAAACTGACCTGAAAACAACCTTCACAAAATAGCAATACAGAATTTCTAGACTCTGGATAAGACCTTGTGGAAATTATAGACGTGCAGGTGACTGTAAGTACAGCGGCTGACACAAGTGCCATCGATTCATGAGTTTGATCTCGACCCCTGAAAGAGGAAAACTTATTTGTCAATCAGAGGCAGAAGCCTCCTGTCATCCTCACGGTTGCGTGCACGAGTGTTGGCATGATTGCTGCTGTTGACGTTTCACTGATGATTAATGGCTGCAGTAACTCCAGTTCTTATTGCTGATGAGTCTCTCTGTGTCTCAGTACACCCATCATAAGTGCCAACCTGGATACCGATGATGACCCAGACTTCGCTCGGCTGGTGAAAGGACGCATTGAGAAAACTCTACTGGGAGAGGTATGCTGAGTTTGACTTGTGCAGATTATTAATACTGCATTAGTATTGCTATTGTTCATGCTTCCTGTTAGGAGTGAAATTCGAATGCACACGATTGAATTAGACGTGCATTGAATTAGCAACACCCTGCCATCACCCAGAACTCCATGCCAACTGAAGAGAAGTGCATTTAATATGCTCAAAGCACCTTAGCAACCCCAAAGCAACGCCCTGGCAACCACCTTGAACACCATGACAAACACATAGCCATGCATTAAACTCATAACACCTTGGCAACCCCATAGCAACACCTTAGCAACGCCCTAGCAACCACCCAGAACATCATGTCAAACATATACTGTAGCAATCCATTAAAAACACTCAGAACTCCTTAGCAACCATCCAAAACATGCCAGCTGCAGAGCAATGCATTAAAATTACACTCAGAACACCTTAGCAACACCCTGACAACCACGCAAGATATGCCAACTGCTGAGCAAGGCATTAAAAACACACACAACACCTTGTTGTGCTCTTGAAACCGCAGTGCTCTAGCAACCACCCAGAACGTCATGTCAAACATATACTGTAGCAATCCATTAAAAACACTCAGCACACCTTAGCAACACCCCAGCGACCTCCCAAAACATGCCAACTGCAAAGCAATGCATTAAAAACACTCAGAACACTTTAGGAACGCCCTGGCAGCCATCCAGAACATAATGCCAACTGCAGAGCAATGCATTAATGCACTCAGAGCACCTTAGCAACCTCATAGCAATGCCTAGCAACCACCCAGAACATCATGTCAAGTGTATGCTATAGCAATCCATTAAAATTATTCAGAACACTTTAGCAACACCTTGACAACAACACAGAACACCATGCCAACTGCAGAGCAATGTATTAAATGAACTCAAAACACTATAACAACCCCATAGCAACGCCCTGGTAACCAACCAGAACATCATGTCAAATATATACTGTAGCAATCCATTAAAAACACTCAGAACACCTTAGAAACGCCCTGGCAGCCACCCAGAACACCATGCTAACTGCAGAGCAATGCATTAAATACACTCAGAACACCTTAGCAACGCCATAGCAACACCCTGGCAACCACCCAGAACATCATACTGTATCAGTGTATTGAAAATAATTTGAATACCTTAGCAACTGCATAGCAACACCCCGGCAACCACTCAGAATGCTGTAGGATTGTGAGGGTGAACATTTTTGCATGAACAAACACCACTTTTACTTCAGAAAATGCATTTGTTTTTTAAATGCAGTGCAGTGTGGGAAAATGAGCGCCTCGCTGGCCTGTAGCATGTGAGATTTTCTGTGTTTTATATTAAGTATGTGCATGATTGAAATGGGTGTCAGATTGTTTGTAATGGAGGGATGCAGAATAGCCTTTGATCTGAGTGAGTCTATTAAAGAAAATAGTCGTTAAGGCTTTCAGGAAAAGTAGGATCCCTTTTACCTAAATTATAAAGCAACTTTGAGCATGCTCTTTGTGGAGAAACTAATACCAGTTTTGAAAACTTTCACATTACAGTAGACGGAAAGGCAGTGCATACATTTTTTTGAGATGGAGTCAGTATGTTGGTGGTTTGTGTATTATGTTGTCGTCTTGTTTTCATATTAATCAGTGAATTGATTGATCATTTCCATCAGATTTCCGAGTACATCGAGGAGGTTTTCCTGCCTGATGATTGTTTCGTCCTGGTGAAGCTGTCGCTAGAGAGGATTCGTCTTCTGAGGTTGGAGGTAACGGCAGATTGATCATAATTATCTGTTAACGACAGACTGGAGCTCAAAATGATTCCTCTAGCATCAGTGTTTTTATCGGTCTCTAGATTTTCACTCAGTTATATTGATAGTTCTGCCGTTGTCATTGCTGTATTTTCTCTCTCTCAGCAGCCGTTCCTGTTGAGTGAATTTAATTGACTGATTTTCTTGTCACAGTGATGATCCTCCTCTGCAGAGGTTTATAGAGTCGTATTGATGTTTTGTTCTGTTCAGGTGAACGCAGAGACGGTGCGATACTCCATCTGTACGTCAAAGCTGCGGGTGAAGCCGGGCGATATCGCGGTTCACGGAGAGGCTGTGGTCTGCGTGTCTCCCAAAGAAAACAGCAAGAGCTCCATGTACTACGTCCTGCAGTCGCTCAAACAGGAGCTTCCTAAGGTCAGTCCTGACGCCACAGTGTTAGACACTGACCCTATTGCCATCATAATT